AAAAACCGGTTATCCCGCTTTCCGCTAAAAGGAAGTAATGTTCATGTATAAATTATGTGTACACACGGACAGTATACTGTTAGGTGACCGTTGAGTATTTACTACATAGCAGTATCCTTCCGTATCAAGGTAAGTTTTAAAATCTATTCACATTTAAGTTTGTGTAATCTCGAAAGAAAACTTTTCCTCTTTTCATATTTTTATGTCGTACAATAAGAATTGAGATTGAGGCAATATACGATGATACGAAGTGATATGCATGTATTATCAACACACTACATTACATATTACACATGCAAAGAAAAATCGATATCACAAAGTAATCATACTAATTAGTTTATATTGTGAATGCTACATATCTAAAACTTACACAAATGGTGGTAGATTTCTAATGTGTGACCTTAGTCATTTTGTGTTAATTCTTTTAATTGATTAATGATAACAGAATTGATTCGAGAAATATTTTTATTTTCGTATATGATCAGACCATCACTAACATATAACACCGGAAATAAACATCCTGTCAAAATATCAAATGGCGAACTGTTGGTTATTTTGCCTTTGTGTAGATTCAACATCTAAACCTATTAAGTCACTAGGTACAACCAACGCCACCTCTGTGACACTATCAAGTAGATCACTCTGTTGTTAAACCGGAAATGGTTATATGAACAGGAAGCAGTATTTTATTGTATATAATGTTGGTTGGAAATTTGAAATATAAAAATAATAATTTTCATGAATTAATTGTTGTTTAATTTAGCATATAACATGAATTGAGTGTTAAATATGTACATAGTATATTGCACCAAATATTACCTTTACATGTCCAGCACTGCATAGGCAAGTAGGGACTTATGTAAACAATGGTAGCCAGAATTCATATAAACAAATGTGATGTGTATATATAAACAGTGCAGTACAGTTAGAGTAACGATGATTGTATAAACATTACGTAAAATATTTCAAGGTCATGAGAAAATAATAGTTTAGATAGTGAATTGTATATAGTTGCTTAGTACAGCATTATGAGTATGTAAGGTAAACATGACCGATTTAGCAGATGTTAGGTTCTGCGTAATTGTTAAGTATTTGATTATTATATATGTAAATAGTGACCAATATGCGGTGGGTCTGAAGACTGGTAGTACCAATTGTCATTCCAGACAATAGCTTCCAGGGATTGGGGAATGGACCAATCAACGGTCGTTGCACTAAATGTGCATCCCCAATCCATCAGCACTTATCCCATACACAATAACAAATGGCGCCAAGATTCTGCATTTTGTGTTCAAATCGGTATCATTTTGACAGAATCTTGATATGGTTGGGTCGCCAGGATCAACCATTGTTCATGAGAAATTTCCACCTGCGGAGTTGGCCGACTTTTGGCGTCCCCTATAAATACTGGGCAGTTTTCGCTGCTCATTGCACTTAGATCTAGGGATGCCAAAGGGACAACTTCCGGTTGTGGGACTGACTCTACGGAAGCGTGATAGGGAGCGAGCCTTCTTGTGGACTTCACTGTGCTATATATAAATAACAAATAGAAAGGAATTTAGACTTGGCTTTTTCTCCGGGAACACAACGCGAGCGGGGGCACAGTGGGATTACACCCCGCTGTCTTCTGAGAAAACTGATATCATGTCATATCTTACACGGAATTGTAAGAAAATATACACAGTCATTAAGTTCATTGGTACCAGTCTCTTCACTGACCCATGATTCTGTGTAGGATGTGATTTCAAGTATCTCAAGTATTCACAAGTCCTGAAATTGTAGTTGCCTGTTATTGAGTGGATTTACAAGGCATGAAGATTCATTCAGACTTTGAATTTTTCAACAAGGATTTTTTTTTAAATATGGAAGAATGGCTATTTTGAAGAATGTGTTGAACTGTTGGCATTTTGATTTTCGTTTCTCCCATTGTATGATATTATCGTATTTAGCTTAGTATCTGATTGCTGTAAAGAGACAACATACAAATTGTAAGATAACTTTGAAAAAAAGAAGTGGAATACGTGTCTGTGTGTCTGTCTACGTGTAATGGTGTATTAAAATCAATCTGAACCTTAACACGGTGTTTCGCTCCTTAAAAAGGGTCTTTCTTTCTTCCATTGTTTAAATTGATTACCGGGTCAGTTTACATGATATTCATCAATGTATTTTATAACTTTGTTTTATTTTCTATAAATATGATGTAAGTAACAATGTATCTAAAGTAATGTGGAGTTGATAAAGGGGTGGCGGGGTGCATATTGCTTCTAAAATTTTAAAATTGCCTTAATTGTACTGTCATTATTACTTTATTGATTATATGTGTATTATTAAATATATAATTAAAAAGATAGAAATGTCAATATGATTCTCAAATTATCTCGTTCGTACGATTTCTTATCTCGATCGAACGACTTCTTTTCTCACTTGAACGCTAAAATCTAATCTCGTTCGTGCGATTTCTAATCTCGTTCGTAAGACTTCTAATCTCGGTTGTACGATTTTCTAATCTCGGTTGTACGATTTCTAATCTCGATCGAACGGCTTCTTTTCTCACTTGAATGCTAAAATCTAATCTTGTTCGTACGATTTCTAATCTCGTTCGTAAGACTTCTAATCACGGTAGCACGATTTTCTAATCTCGTTCGTACGATTTCTAATATCGTTCGTATGAATTTTTATCTCGTTCGTATGACTTCTGACCTCGTTTGTACGATTTCCAATCTCATTCGTACGTCTTCTGATCTGATATGTTCAACTTCTAATCTCGTTCATATAATTTCTAATCTTATTTGTACAATTTCTAATCTCGTTCGTACGTTTTTTAATCTCGTTCGTACGATTTCTAATCTCGTTCGTGCGACTTCTAATCTTATTTGAACGATTTCTAATCTCGTTCGTATGACTTCCTATCTCGTTCATTTAATCTTGTTAATACCAATTTTCAAAACGTTGGTATAAATCAATGGCATTCTATTCATCCGGGAATAGTGGCACGTGCAGTTGTACGTCTTAGTCGTTATTGACCCCAAGCTTAATGTTATGTCCCAGGAAAACAGTTAACAAATTCAAACATGAATAAATGAAACCAGGAAGGAGTCAAGATAAAAGTCGATTAAAATAAAACCTAATTTTCTTATTTATGATCAAAATTCAAATTATCAGGTTAAAAAGTAGACCGTGAAAATTTTAAAGTTATCTTTTTATAGCATGCATTGATAAACACTTTTAATTAAACGGGAAAACAAAGGAAACGTGGGTCATTCCTTGTTTGTATTTTTCGAAACAGGAAATAAAACAAACACTTTACTAAATGTAATTTTAACTCTCCTGAAAATGTCGATCAAAAGAAAAATCTGCCGCATAACTGGTAAGATATATTAGTTTTAGATAACGAGTATGTTGCTCCTGGCCACTAGAGCTGGAGAAGGTGAATGTGTTAGGTCACAAACGTATCTTGTAATGATATTGATAGTCGTCATATTACAATTCCATACAGGATTTGAAACTGAATGGGCAAATCTTAATCTGCCGGAGTTTTGAACCCAATGTTTATTTGTTTGGTTTCAATTACATGTGTGGTCAGGTGGTTTTATTTTATTTTTTTTACTTCACAGCATTGCTTAGACACAGATTTCACCAATATTTGTGATACATGTGTATGTACTTGACATTTCAGTCATTAAATATCTCTATCGATTACAATATATTTCCTTTTAGCTAGTACGACTGGTTGTTAGAATTATGAAAAAAATATCAATATAAAACCTCGAAAATTCTGAAAAGAGGAGGAGAGCAAAATATGTAGAAGTTTAACACTGATGCTTTTGAAAGTGCACCTGTTCGTTTAAGATATGAAACATTGTGTGGCTAATTACTACACTAATATCGCAACGCTTTCCTTGGAATTATCAATCGTCCTTTTCATATTACTCACTATGTATGGAATAAATACGGTGCTGACCTATGGGCAGTTTTACGTAAAGAGTGATCTGACATACTTGAAATTTCCTAATATACGTGGATAATACGTCATTGATGGAACATGACAGTTCAGCTCTTTGTCAAATTTTCGTTGCTGTTTGTTTTCTGTGAGAATAACAAAGGGAAATATTTGTATAGGTTTGGAAGAGTTGATGTGGATAACATTTTCAATATTTTTTTTCACATGACCTGTAAACCCAGTCATGCTTAAACACGACAGAGTGCCTCTACAATACATTACAATGTACATTTTGTATTTGAGGACGAGCAGGGCAGTGAAATACGCGTGTATCGATAGCGTAATATAACCTCATCTAATTTCATCACTTACATGATACTTTAGGATGTACTTTATAATAAAATTTCATTATATGGACAGATGTTAACAAATGCCTCTCCTGATCAATGTTTTTACTTTTTAATATAATTCCATGTTTGATCTAGGACCTTTGGAATATGTTCCAGACTTGATTTAAATCTAAAGTGGATGTTTCTAGTATCAGCAAACACTTTTATTTACTTCTGTCAGAGCTCAACATTCCTTTCTAGGGTCTCTAAGACTTTTATGCCCTTACCATCAAGAATGAGTCCTCAGAGGACAAAACAACTGTATGATATAGTTCTAATACTAAATTTGTATTGATCGATACTGTTCGTTATCGCTAATGTTTAGCAATATATTTGTGTATTTTGTACCATTCGACTTGTGATAAGAGATCTATTAATACCCATAATATGTCACATGTATGCTTGTCGAAGTTAGCGCTATCTCTAACCACCCTGTCAACAGTCACCAAGAACTACAGTTTGTAGAAATTCCTCATGTCAAAGAAAACTAATAAGAAAATGGATGGTGGTTCTATATCATTGGATTCTGACAATATATTTCATATTATCAACCCTAAATGCCCTTTCGGAGAGGAAATGTTTAATTGGATAATTTTGAAGCAAAGCCTTTGGCTAACTATATGATATAATTTCTTTCTTTTCAGAATTCACTGGGTAACGAGGCGTGTATAGACAAAACGTCTATGATGGCAAATGCTGAATTATTTTCTGATGAGGTATGAAATCACACTGAAACTTTTTTATATATATTAAAGCGTGAATTTATTTTAAAGAACTAATTATTTCAGATTAAGTAAGACTATAAATGAATGACAAAGCAAGACATCAGGACCAGTTTAAAAACTTTAAAATCAAAAATTGTTTTTAATTTCATAGAAACATAATTAAATCAAGAAATCGATAGTTAGTAATCGGCAATGATTTGTACTGAGAATGTTTTTAATTGATGATGGAACTGTAAACCAGATACCTATCAATGCGAGATTAACATTTCTCAAATACTCCACAGGTTCTGTGGTTTCTAGGAATGGGATACCTCTAACTCACATAGGGAAGGAACGCTGATTTACAATTTTCAAATTTCATGGGAAATTGATGATGGGGCAATGATAAGGTTTCACGACCTAAGTATGTGAAAAAAATCAATCATAGTTTTTTTTTCGTGGATAGGAATATCTTTTCACTTATAAGAATTTTGCTGGTCAGCGCTCGGCACGCAGCCTTCTGACCAGCAAGAGTCTGGCATTCGGGTTTAGATATCTATGCAATGGAACACAGCAATATAAGATTCTATTTATCCTACATGTGCGTTCCACGTACGATTCTTCAAAGGAAGCCTGTATCTTGTCTTCGACGATGTGAGGGAATTTATGAACTCAATATCAGGAAGCAAAAAGAGCATTAAGGGGCACTGCTGTAGTATTTGTTTACCTAAAACATTATTTTGTTTCAATTAATTTTGAAATGTGCAATTATGTCCATGGAATCTTAACTTGAGAAAATTAATGTTTTGCGCTTATTCTTAATTGTTCTTCAATAAAATAGATAAACAGTACAATTTGTTCTCAGTTTTTCGGGTTTGCCGTGCCAGACTATGCTCCCTCGCCAGAGCCTGAACATCACTATGACGGTTTGACTGATGGCATAAATAGATTGTCCGTGACAGATTCTGTATTGACACCAACGGTAAATATATCAAATTGATGTCAACCTAGATGCACGCATTATGAAACAAGTGAAATAAATATAAGGAGCTTATGCACCGAGTAAAGTGAACCTGGTTTATGTTAATGCAGCCATTTGCCAGATTTTGTTTTATTTTCCTCGTCTTATCTATGAATGTCAAATGGATAATCACAATGGCCATATCAACATTTAGGGGTATTACAACAACATATCTTAATCCCTTCATCCATTTAGGGAGGCAGTCTTAGACCTTCAAGCGGGCCAACAGAGCATGAAATGACGAGGAATGAAATAAGACGTTCACTGCGACCTACCAGCGGTCCAACAGAGCATGAGATGAAGAGCATCGAAGTAGACTCTCCCAATAGCAATAATGACACAAGTATTAATGATGTTAGATCCGACATACATGATAGCATGTGTTCTGACAAGGTAAGACTAAGACTTAAGACTAATATTTTAGCAGTAATAAGAAAATAAAGAAGTCAGTCCGAATATCGGTCTCTATTTTTTGTAAACATAACGAAACCAATGGGTTTATATATTAAGTTGCCCAATTCTGTTTTCTTCACCGATTGCTTTTGAAATGTATGATGTATGATATGAAAACTTTAGTTGTAATATCAAATTGTTTTCACAATTTCTAAATTAAAACTTTGTACATCAACTTAGTTGTAATATCAAATTGTTTTCACAATTTCTAAATTAAAACTTTGTACATCATTCTTTTGTGAAACAGGATAACCTTGACGGTTATACACCCGACCTGCTAGATGGTGAATGTAACAGTGATTTTGACACAAGCAATAGTGGATATACAAATGAAGGAGGGGATGATTGTGAATGTGGGTCGGTAATCAATGAGGTATGAACGAAATTTAAAAATATAAGACAAAAAGCATAACTGTAGGTTCCATTTTTATTTTTCAAATGTGCACGTAAACACTACTAAATAAAAATAATTCTATGAATGAAAAAGGATTATAAACATTAGTGCTAATCACAAGCACTTTCGTTCTTGATGCTTAGATGCTCACCAACAATAATAGTACGTGAATGACGTCATGGCGAAATAGTAATTACAGTAATACGTATGTACTATATACAAGTACAAGTAATTATTTGAATTCGTCTTTAATTTGAAACATCATTTTACATTCCAGAATGATGGATGTGAAGAACTCAAATCTAACATCGAGTTTCAACTAACACAATCACACAAAGAAACTGGTGGGTTTAGCGTGACATCAAGATCATTTAATCATACTATCGACATTCACGACAGCAGTAACAGTCACGTGCAGTACATGAAACTTCAGTAAGTGTTTACGCCTACTGTGTAACAATCTTATGTGGAATTGATAAATAATTTATGCTCCAGACTCAAGAGACGTTGCTTTTTTTATTACGAATTTATATCGAAAAAATATTATGAAAACGCTGATAATATATATATAGAAAATAAGATCTTATCTCAGAACCAGTAAGAAATGTATGCTTGACAAATCGAAGACTGGATTGACGCCTTCACCAGACAAAAGTCTTAAGTGAAGTGTATTAAGGCATATTGAGTACGTGACAGTGATGAATTGACAAGACATTTCGGTTGTATAAAGATATTTCCCACGCGTGATAACGAAGTACCATGCAGTGACAGTCAATTTGGTTACCTTGTCATGGATGCATGCGATTCGTGGAATACACAAACAAGATCGGATACAAGAAATGCGACAAATAGTATTTCGGAGTTCGACTTGATGAACACCTGTAAAAACATAGAAACATAAGAGGACAGGAAAGGTTCTGCAGCTGTATTCCTTGTTCTTATTTTAGAATGTTACATTACACACTCGTACTGAAAAACGTTTACATGTCGTGTGTCATCGATGGAGTCGGAAACGCTAACTCTATCGGAACACCTAGTCTTATTCTCTCTGTACTTTTTATAAGTATCCCTGCAAATCTCCCTTTTGTTCTTATTTGCCGTAGTTGTATTGAATTTGAGTTTGGATTATGATTTGTGTCGAAATTTTGGTTTTTTTTTTGTTTTTTTATGCAGACTTCATTAACCATGTCACACAGCAAACCTATATCATTGACTGGGACTATTCCTAAGCATCGGATAGGGGGAAAAACCATTCGAAACGGCAGCTAAAAACACCTCTTGATCTCAGTAACTAATTCGTTCTTGAGAGTTGCAAGGATTCTTATAGACTCTCACACATATGTGTACAGGTTAAACACAGTCCCTAGTCGAATCGACTCTGATAGCTTTGACAGTATATTATGACTAGGTGGGGTGTCCTGCTGGAACCCTTAGGTAGCATGCATCAGTGTGGTAGCACGTAAAGTCAGCTTCAGTTCCGTACGGCCAAAGCACTCAGCAGCACAAACTGTTAAGAAAGTAGTGTGTCCATTTCAACTGACATTTAAACAGAAGCTCTCTTTTCTCAGCATGATATTACACGATATCAGTATTATTGTTTATTGGAAGGATATCTCACAAGTAGTGTGAAGAACAAGAGCAAGTTGTGACTTACCACAAAAATAACGGTAACTCATTACGAAGCCGTGAAAACACTGTCCTGATTCTAATAGTCCAATATCTAACGAACATTCAAAATTTTTCATCGCAACATTGATACCTGTGTTTGTAGGACTGGTGACTGCTTAATCAGTATTAAAAACATAGACGTCCGCCATTATGACCATTACATCTTGGTGTCCACTCTACAACACATCTATGGAGAAGACGACGGAGCTTTTAAAATGGTATGACTAGTTACATACAAATTAGTTACCGCTGACTTGAAGACGTGTTTTTGATAATGCCATCAAAAACAAAATGAATTAAGCGATAGCACGCGAGCTAATCAGAGGTAGAAAAGCCTTCAAATATCAATTGCTCTTTTTAAACTTAAGATAAATCTATGACGTATGTCTGTTTTCTTTTTATTTTAATTCTTATCTATTTATCTATGAATTGTTTTCTCTTTAAGTGTTTATTTATTTGTGAGACATTTCTCATAAAAATGTTCTTTTTTAACTGCGTGGAAATCTATTTTTCTGTGGCGATTAGGTGATTGGTAGAAAATTTGAAACGGACGACACCGGAAAGACCGAACTGCGATACATAGAGATTAATGTACATTTTGAGTTTCCTACACGTGGTAAGTATAATAAAATGTATATCAAATATCCGTGTACATAACATATATGTGGAATATATGGATTCCTTTTCCGAAATTATTCTATTTCATTGTCCATATCAACGCCATATGAAAAATAATACGATTTACTTTTATAGATAAATTTATTATTTAAATGAAGAAAAATTGAGTTAACGGCGAAGTGGAATACAATTGTCCGGTATTGGTAACATAGAAGATCTTTGTCTTTAACAAAAAGGAAATATACGAAAGAGGAAATCTTCAAAAATGATCGAGTTTCTGGTTGATAGCAACTTCGTCGGGTTTGGTGGTAAGGTCTTCCAACAGACTGTTGGCCCCTCTGTTGACTGACTTGTTTTTTTTTTTTTTTTTTTTTCATACGAGGCTGAATTTATTTGAAGAGCTTATCAAAATAGGTCACGTTTAACTTCACGTTCAGATATATTGAAGACGTCTTGTCTTTAAATAACAAGATATTTATTGACTACGCCTATCGGATATATCCTCGAGAATTGAAAATCAAAGATACGACCATCTCCTCTACATCAGCTGCTTATCTCGATCTTTTCTTACAACGAAACCAACTTGAATAGCTTTCTATCAAGTTTTATGATAAAAGTGATGATTTCAAATTCCATTTCTGGATAGCAGTATCCCTTGATATCTAGCCTATGGTGTTTACATGTCACAGTTGATTCGATATTGAAGAGTGTTCTCAATATCACGATTTTCGGTGCAAGAAGTCGTCATTTGATTAACAAACTCGTATCACGAAGGTTAAAATCTTGCAGGTAAATTGGTTATGGAGAAGTTTCATGGTCGTAATTATGATCTCATTGACAAATGTTCTACTTCTGTGTGCGACATGATGCTGGACGTATTTGATGCTGGTTGTTTTGCCTATTAGTTCCATTGTTGCACACCTTGTTTTCATATGAGAACGTGATATTACTTATTTGGATTAACTAAGATTTACATGGCGGGTGCCGTCGATGAAGCAAAAGACGCTTATTCTTCCGGAACATCTGGTCTTATTCTTCATTTTTAGGAGTCTCCGTTTAAAGCTTGCTTTTGTTCATATTTTGCCATGGTTTTATGGAGTTTGAGTTTGAATTATAATTTTGTTTTATCATCAGCGTATATAGTCAGTTTCTTAGCGTTTGCATAGTATTCTATAGCCCCAAGACTGAAACGAATGTTTCTTAAGAAAGTATCCTTGAATATTGCATTATTAGATCATCTGTTTTTCCGTACAGGCGAACCTATGCCGCACATATCCGTCGATGTCGTCTCTTGCACGTCTTTAACTTTCACGAAAGTTATCTGCGTGGAGTTCAAAGACACCAAAGTGTGTTGGATTCGGAGTAACGACCAGTATATGAGTGTCCAGAACAACGAGTTGACCATGAATAACCGCTTGACCAGCAAATCAGATAAAAACTGTACGTAACCTTACTTTGTTAGTCATTGCGCAAACAAGCGCTCATATATTAACACATTTTAAAAAATTTATTATTGTAGATGAGCATTTATATTTAATCGAAATAGATGCATATGAAAAATGAAATGATAAAAACATAAAATAAAACTATATAAATAATTTTGTACGAATTTTAGCGGACTTTGGTGTGGCATCTGACCATGTTTTTTCGCTCAGGTATTTCATCTTTTTTTGATGCTGTGGTATTCAACATCATGTTTTGTGCTTGACAATAGAAACGGTAATTTTTGAAAGCTAGCAAAAGTTGTTGTTTATGATAAAGATAACTATCTTAGATACTTTTAAACGTTTTTTGACGCTCTGGTATTCTAACTTATTTTTCGACGCTGGCCATTGACACTGTGTTTTGACGCTGTGATATTTTCACTTTATTTTCGGACGCTATGGAATCAGACCATGATTTTACATTGTGATATTTAACCTTATTTTTGGACGCTATGGCATGATACCCTGTGTTTTGAAACTGTGGGATTTGACCTTATTTTCCGACCCTTTGACAGAAGGCCACCTGTTTTGACGATGTTTCACTTTACTTTAATTTTCCGACGCTATGGCATAATACCCTGTGCTACGCTATTTCATCTTACGTGTTGACATGATTGATTTGACATCGTGGTTGGTCACCTAAGTATTGATTTCGTGTGTTGGTGCTGTGGTATTGACAGTTGTATTGACGTCAAAATTAATCATACATTTCACTTTTGTATTAACGAGACAGTCAAGTAAGATGAAGTGTTCCACAGTGTGGCGAAGTGGTAACTTGACTTTGTGTTGTAGTACAGGTAAATATACAATGTTGTAAACTGTCGTATATTATGTGTAATTCTCAAAGGAGTCGATTTTTCACACAATAGTTCAGTTCGTGTATACCACGTTTCACGGTCTGGAGGCTCGAACGGTTGGTAACACAATGTGTCCTGCATTATTCTTCTGCGCTTTCGAATCTGCTGCCAGTGGCACATTTATCTTGGCCATGAGTACCAACAGAGTTGGGCTGGGGGTAAGTAGTATTTGTTGATGGTAGAGAAATGAGTAATTGAACTTGCTTAAAAGTTGATGCAGAATAGGTTCATTATTGCCTATACCACGAAACATATGGGGAACAATTTGAAGTCAATATTTAAGTTAATTCATTGTGGATATATAGAAATTACACAACGAGTGGGTGTTGGATACGGCGTTTATTTCCCTCGAGTTAGTTATTTTTTAAAGCCCGTGTCTTTGGTAACTTTAAAAAAAAAACTAACTCGAGTGAAATAAACGCCGTATCCAATAACCACTCGTTGTGTAATCTGTTTCTACCATTCTTATTTCGAGATCACAGGCGGTAGGCGAAGACCAATACATGTATACGTGTGTAAACAATTTGCTGACATATGCAAATGTGGCGTAGAGATACTCGGAGTGAAAAGGCTACAATTAACATTCAAAAATATATATGATGATAAATAATTTCTCGGAACTCAAGATATTCATTACTTTCAGAATCTTTACATAATTTCTCATCACCCCATTGCATGTCTCGGTGTTCGGTAGCGCCGCGCATTCCAAAATATACCGTATTGTTCTACTAAATTGTTCTAAGCAAACTTTCGGCATTACTATAGTCTAGCTGTCCAGATTCGTATAATTTGTCAATCTCGTCATCAGATATAGCATCAGCCCTGTTTTCACGATTCCCTTTGCCCTCACGTTTCAGTTTATTTAGTTTAGACCGGATAACATTAATAACTTTAGAAAACTCAAGGCTTATTGAAATTTGTTTCCCGTATTCTTTTGGCTTCAGGTATCGATCTAAACTACAGGCTATACATCTGATAGAAGCTGGTTCATATTCCTGGCCATTTAGATTCTGCACATTCATGAATAATATACACAGCAATTTGTTTAAATGCGCAGGGGGTATAATTTTAATTGGCCGCACTTCTCTAAGGACGTTTTTAAGGTATTCATGGACTTTCTTGGCGTCACTGTTAGTTTTTTTCTTTGTGTTTTTGTTTACCTCCGAAGCAATAAATCCATCTCAAAATTGTCAAGAGAATCATCAGACAAACCGTTCTGAGTATCGATATTTTGGGAAAAAGTAACGGTTTCAGACAATGTATGAGACAAGGTCATGTCGCGGCCCGGACAAGCCGGTATCACGTCGAAACGATACCTGGCTTCTGTTACAGTCTTTCCCGAATTAAGCTCTGTTTGGAAACGATCAAACCCAACATTATTATCTGCTTTTGAAATTGCCCGGATTACACCCTTTTCCCCATCACATAGTCTTACTTTATCACCTACATTCACCTCAAGCCTATCTAGTTCAGCCATGTTGACAGCAGACGATATTAAACAAATCGCACGTGGAACAAATCACGCGAGTGAAAAAAGTAGTTCGGGTCAAAGTTCACCAATCATGTATCCGGAAGGCCATATACCACTAGTGGAATATCATTTATATTTATCCAACACCCGCCATATTTACACAATGGCCTGAGAGTGGAATAAATTAAAGTAGAATGGTAGAAATCAGAATATCTGAATACCATATTACCATCTGTGATAAGAGAATTGGACTAAAACAGCGGATCAAATATAGAACAAGTAAATACCACCATCATCATGATCATAATCCAAACTCAAATTAGTTAAATCCATTATGAAGAAAGACCACAAAAGAATAAGGCCAGGTGTTTCAGATGAGTAAGTGTCTCATACTTCATCGACGACACCTGCCATGTAATCCTTTGTCAATCCAAGTAAATAATGTCACACCCTCAATAGTGAAAAAAGTATACGAAAAAGGAACCAAAAGCCAACCTAACGAGCATCAAATACATTCAAACACACCCAGTTTCGTATAGATCAAAGAAATAGAATATTTCTCATTGAGATCACAATAACGACCAATCTTTTCCGTAATTTTTATCAATCTGCATCTTATGAAACCATTATTACGAGTTTGTCAACGCGTTTGCTACTCTCTTTGATAGAACTACATTATTTAGTAGTAATATGCCAGTGATTTTTCTAGTATCGCATTCTTTATAAAGTGCTAAGTTGCAAATGGAATGTGGAATATAAAACTTGTGAATGACAAGTTTAGTTAAATGCATGCACAGTATTCTGAGTTTTATGTACGCCAGTACGAAAATAGCATTATTTATGTAGAGTTGTCAAGACCTATCTAATTCTGATTGGCATCGCTGGTGTTGTAATTGTGATCTGAAATTATGAATACGTTTTACAGTCGTCCTGGTCATCACATTCGGAATTATTGCATTACCTAGAGTGATATGAATTCGGATATGTTTGGTGCGAGTTAATTTGCCTGATATGTTCGTTGTTGTCTCATTTGGGAAATGTACTACAATTGAATTGATTGAACTAGATTTTTCACGAGTCTCCATGTAAACGTTTCTTTTGTTCATATTTTGATCTAGTTTATTGGAACCTGAGATTGATTCTGTTGACAGTATTTTCTGTTGTTTCTGTATCTGATCTGACTCAATATGTTTCATTTCACTCACAGGGAAGTTCCCTACTACGACGTGACATGTCAGGAATACGGAAGCCAGATTGCCGATTCTTCAAAGTCCGTTTGATATCAAAACATATTTATCTCCTGGAGTCACTTGTATATAAAGGTATGTCAGTACAACATTGTCATCATTTGTATTGGGTATTGTATAAGGTATTGAAGGACTTTTGAGATAATTTTCATGTTTGTTGGTATGTCAGAATACTTTGTGTGAGGCACGAGTAGTGATTTCCTGCAATGTTTTGGGATGTCCCTATAATTCTTAAGGGAAGTGACATTTACGTGAAACTATCTTTCTTAAATACAGATTAAGAGGTGCTTTAAAGGTAACTGTAGGTTCGTCTTAAATGGTTATACAAAAACAATAAAAAACATAACAGATCCTTTGCAAATTAATATTTTATTTTTGTCTTCATTTGGTAGAATATATAGACACATGAACTGTTGTTGGTTGTAGTATAAAATATTATGTACACTATCCCGTCATAATGCTCCTCACTTGAGTGTACATACATTTATGCTACAGCTGAAAAAACTTTTTTTTACCACCCATTTCATATAATGTATAGAAACGCTTCACACTGTTCAAATGGCCGGTGAAGGTTATGGTGTAGTCATCGAAAAATAATAAATTCATTTCAAAATGATATTTATCGAACAGTTTTGATTATGTAAGTACTTTGACGGCAATACATAAACATTTTACATTATTAGATGAATAGACAAGTTCTTCGTGCTGGATAGCTGATTTGTGATATAAGAACTTCTATCAAATATGACTATTGTTTATATATAGAAGTATTTTGATTTTTCATTCATAATGTTATGGAGAATAAATATTCCATTAGGAGATTAATAATATCAAAATGGCATGTTGTAGATATGTACCTTAGCTGTAACAGGCGTGGACTATCGATGAAAAAGGGAACTTCGCACATGGACGATATCTTCCGTATCCCACGGGAATTACAGTTTGAAATATTGACATCAATCGACCATTCTTTGATATAGAGGCTTCAAAAAGACACTGCAGTTGTATATGAAGACCATATGATGAAACTCGATTGAAAAGGTTCGCAAAGTAATAAAATACAAATTGAATATTGTGAAAAAATCAAAGCTGTGGAAATATCTCGTAATATGTCTCCGAAGCTGACGGTTGAATTAATATATAAGTTACCCATATGATGTGGGGTTACCCGGATGAAGTATAACTGGAGACATTCTACATTAATTTATTGAAGACATCAATATTGAAAGTCCCTAAAATAATGAAAGGGACGACAGCAATTTTTATGCCATATTTCTATAAAAGAATTAACATTATTTTGCTTAATGCTATGGTAAACATCGATTTTTTTAGTGTATTCTTCAAACATCTGTCTGTTGTTCAGATCAGAACGATGTATATATTTCACAGGCAAAGCGATTTACACATTGGATAAGTTCTATTCTTTGATAATCCCATTTATTTATCTATGTCTGGTTGCTTGGTTGTTGTTAACATTGTTTTCATTGTAAAAAGAGGTAGTAATATCTTGAATTTACTAATATTTACATATTAGTATTATTAATTTACTAATATTTACATATTAGCCTTTGAAGAGATATCCTTACGCGACGCCTATTTTTTTTTTTTTTTTTTTGTAAATATTTCGTTTAATGATTTTTTTGCCCCAGTGACATTGTATTTGAGTATCAATTATGATTTTTTGACATGTTGGCATTTTCTTGTTGCTTTCTGTTTATAAGCACATGTTTTAAAGCCAATCACAATTTATATATTGTATTAAGTTTTGATGTATTCACAACATCGCTTTATTGTCAGATTTGTATAAAAAAATATTGTCATACTTGAATTAATATCAATATCTGTTGTCTGTTTTCAGTCACTGATTTGTAAAAAAAGAAATATTCAAACTCTGAATAATGCATAAATGCATATTTAATTTGTATATAGTGCTGGCTGCCTTTAGGATCAGTGCTAGTGTTAGAACCCTTCCAGAACACCTGATCTTCTTCTCCTTGTACTTTTGCCGGAGTTTCCGTGTAAATCCTTCTTCTGTACATATGTTGCCCTAGTTTTATTGAATTTGAATTACTATGTGGATATCTTTGTATTTTTTTTTCTTTAAGCATGTGTAATGGTCTTTATATAGCCTTATGTTACATAGGTGATATACATATTTAACACCAGAGCGCTTACGTTGCAGCAACGTTTTGTACGAACGTCGATTACAAATTCTGTTCGGGTGCAAGGGGATATAACGTCTTAAGCATTTCTACTACCATGACGTAAACAAAACCCATTGACTTGACGATTGTACAAAAGATATGCAGGTCAATAACACCTTTTAATAGAAATTTGAAAAAAGATACATTATGGCCAAAAGTGAATAAAGCTCCTTGATAAATTCAGCCTGGTATGCCAACAAAGGGACAGTTTCGTTCCCATGACTATTCCAATGGTCTGTTGGAAGATCTTTCCACCAAACTTGATGAAGATATTGTCAACCAGGAACTCGAAATTAAACAAATTATATATATTTATATATATATATATATATATATACATATCAAATTCAAATAAAAATGGGCTTTTTGGAAAGTTTGGAATGTAGCTACATATTTTAATAGCAGATTCTATATGCCTAAGTAAATAATTATTTGCCAAAATTCAACGATAACAAAACGAAACATTTTAGTAACATTTTATTGACCATTTTAGAAATTTAACGAGCCTTAAATACATAGGCACCAGAATGCACAAGCATTGTAACATTGAGACAGGTTGTCTTATCACTAAAAATAACTGAATCAATAATAAGTGTGAGAAGGTATAGTCTGTTGCTCTCTATGTATATTATTGAATAGAATGTTTAAAACCGGTAATCACCACTAGGAAATAACGTTTAAGTATATATGTGAACATACACACGGAAGTTGACATTCAGTTAACTGATCGATGCTGTTCTTACTGCACCTTATCAAGGTATGTTTTTGTCTGGAACATTAATGCAAACTCTATTTACTTTTAAATCGGAGAAATTAGTTTTCCCTCTTTTCTTATTTTCTGTCAAAAGCAATTGAGATTCTGGCAATAGAGGGTGATACCAAATGACATAAATGCACTATCAACATAGAACATTACATATTATGCATGGAAAGAATATCGCTATCACAAAGTGATCATACTAATTAATTTTCCCTGTGAATATAACATCTCTAAATATTTACAAAAAAGGTGGTAGATTTCTAATGTAAGGTCTTAGTCACTTTGCGTTTATTCTTTAAATGGATATATGCTAGCAAAATCAATACATGAAAGTAAAACATTGCCATCTTTTGGTTATTCTTATTTTCCGATTTGATTCGATCAGCAGTTTTTATATAAACCTAATAACAAACACTACCTTGTCAAAATATAAAATGACAAACTTTTTGTGTTGGTGTTTGTTTCCATGTAGAGTCAAAAACTTAACATGCCCAACAAGGCACAACATAAGCAGGGCTCAGTAATAAGCAAATGTATACAATGAAATTCTTATATATCACACACACACACACACACACACACACACACACACACACACACACACACACACACACACACACACACACACACACACACACACACATATATATATATGAAATGTACTTACACAACAATCATATGACCTTGTCGTCTTCTGAGAAAGTGGAGATCGTATGGTGTCTTACACGGAATTGTGAGAACATTTACCGAGTCATTAAGTCCATCGGCTCAAGTCTGTACTTTGACTAGTTAAGGAATATGTACTTTATTTCTCAGGCACTCTATTTTCTTTTTTTAAATTGTAACCATTTATGTTTGAGTGGATTCACAAGAATGAAAAGTTATTCGGGTAATGTAAGTTATAGATTTTTTGCTTTGTTTTTTGGAAACATCTCGGTGCAGTATGGTAGTATGGGTTTTCAGCCATACTTTTTTTCATGAAAATAGATAAAAATATTTTGTTGCTCTCGGCCAAGAAGCGTTGTTACAATGTCTTAAATAACATACATACAAATGGTCAAAGTGAAGTATCCATATTTGAATGACACAGTTCAAGTGTGTTATCTTATTACGAACCATATGGTACACCCACTCTGCCATAACGACCGACTAAATAAAAGTGTCCCAGCTTCCTGGATCGCAGATGCAAGATAACGGTGTCAGGAGTCTGGCGTCGATGTGGAATAGTGAATCGGCAATACATGTTTGTTAATAAAATGTGATATATAACCATCACAACTGATTTCCGTTGGACGTGCATCAATGCCAAAGTTAGTTAATTGCAAAATGAAGGAGTGATTCAGATTAAAGTCCGAAGGTAGGCTGGGATATTTTCATATACATCTTTATCATTCCAATATTTTTTCTAGTTTGTTTGTGATCCCTTAATATTTCCAGTATCAAACTGATGAATACATACATTAAGTATCTATCGTTGAGTTTTAAATAATTTTAATTTTCAAAAAAAATTGTACGCTGTATCAGGTGTCACAAATTCCAAATAATAGTTATATATAAATACTTACTATTACTAATTTTGGTGCTTAAGACAAAAAAGATATAATGACTGCTCTGAGTACATGTTGGCTAAATTAGCTCGCCTAGACACGAGGGGACATTGTACAATGTTTACTTACCGAAATATGCGTTATTTAGATTCCAATTCAAGCTGTCTTTCCTTTAACAAACATTAAGTAAACGTTCTATTTACATGGAATATTATGAAATTGATAATGATTAATAGAGTTAAATCACAATCAATATAGCAAACATACACTATTTATCAATTAAATATGACCTTTTAAACATTCTGTTTGCGTTTTGCTATATGCTTTCACGCAAATATACTAGCAACCGGAGTTCTGGAAAGCTAGTCTTCGGGATTGTACTACATATTGCAAATGGCGTAGTAGTAGAGATATGGTGATAGTGAGCACAATTTCACTAAATTACGTATAAAAAAGATTTCGCAAACACAAACGTAGGCTAAACACAGCAAACAGGTGATGATGTTATATGACCACACGGAGACATTGTACAAGGTGTACTTGCCAGATTATACGTTATTTAGTCCCAATTTAAAACGTCTGTTCATTCATTAGTCGCCATTTTGTTTGAAGCACTATTTAATGGCTAGTAGTTGATGTATATTGTATAGCAAACACTCGATAACTTCATGGTCCTGTAGTTATATAGTTTTAAATAAGGAACCTTGTCGACTACTTTTACCTTGATATCAGTACTTAAAGGTATGTTTTAAACAGGTAACTTTAGCTCAGTAGAGCTGGGTTTATTGGCTAACTGCTAAAGTACTGTTGAGCAAGTAGTCGATAAAATTCACAGCGCCGTACGTGTTTGGTTCTTGAACTTGTCAACAATGTGACCAAAAGCAGGTAATGACATCTGAATGGTTTTTCCAACCGATATCAGCGGAATTCGTGTTTAGCAATTTTTACATCGAAGATATTGCATCCGTATCCGAACGTTACTTTCAGAAATCATTCTAGTGGTTATTATGCAATTTACAGCACAGATTTCATAGATGATATAAATCAGTGCATATTGTCTTTAATTACAATAATATTGATGATAACAACAATCTTTTTTTCAACCGACAATTCGTACAATTTAATCTCTAAAAAAGAAACAAATCTATTGACACATGTACGGCAATAACCTTTTAAATGGTTACTACGTACTTCAGACTTCATAAGGAATAAAAATCCCCTCTTTACAAGAGAACTGATACAGACAGGTTCTGTGCATATGATTCTCACAATCTATTTCGTATCTTCAACCCTTTCGAAGAGCAACGGTTTCCTTGGATTATTTTGGGAAATTGGGCAGTATGTACCGGTATACAGGTAAACATTTGTTGTCAAAGGCACCACTACTTGCCACTATCTGAGTTGTGAAAATATATACGATAAGACTAATTAATGCAGGTCCAATATCATTTCGAAGACTATCGAATTAAAAATAACTTTTATAATCACCGAGCAATTTTAATGTTCATGTGATCGCTATTTAGTAAAAACTTTACGACTTTTCAATTTAATTTTCAATTTGTAAAATTAACCAACCATGTTTACA